TAGAAAAAGCGATCCAAATAGCTAGACAGAATGAACAGATAAAACAGCAAGACAATAGCATGCGAGCTGACTGTGCGTTGGATGCAGTTAACCGAGGCGGACGGTAGCCTCATGACAGGAAGGCAGCTGCATACAGCCAGCGAGGGAGAGCTGAGGACTGGGAGCAGAGCACTACGAGCTGCACGCAATGTAAAAAGCAACATGGAAAAATGCAGCCATGTCCTGCTAGAAACAAAAGATGCAGAAGGTGCAACAGAGTCGGACATTTTGAAGTGGCATGTTTTACAAAAACACTGAAAGAAGTGTCAACCGTGCCCAGAGAAACACGGATGACCAGTTTTTCCTGGGAGCCATAGGTAAAGACGTCATTGAGCAGTTTAGCAGAGATGAAGAGTGGCTGATAAACTTACCTGTGAACGGCAGCACCGTAGAGTTCAAAATAGACACCGGAGCCGACATCACGGTTATGTCACAGAGTGAATTTCACAAGCTACAACACTGCCCCCGCCTGGTCGCACAGAGAAAATCACCTTACATCACAAGCCCAGGAGGAAAGGTGCACTGTACAGGGAAGTTCTTGGCCTCAAGCCAGCATAAAGGGCAGAAATACAAATTTTGGATTACAGTTATCACTGGACCCTATGCACACAATCTTTTAAGTGGGAGCGTAGCAAGGAAGATGGGTCTAGTCAAACGTGTCAACGGCTTAAACACAGAACTGTTGGAGGATGTTTTTGGGGATGTTGGTCTGCTCAAATGTGACCCAGTGAAAATTGAACTGAAAGCTAATGCTGATCCCTATTCTCTAACAACACCAAGAAGAGTACCCTTTCCCCTTTTGCCTAAAGTTGAAGCTGAGATAAAGCGCATGCTTGAAAGTGGAATAATTGAGGAGGTCACAGAACCCACTGATTGGTGTGCCCCGATGGTACCTGTTGAAAAGAAGAACAGGGAAAGAGTCAGGATATGTGTCGACCTAAAACGTTTAAACAGTGCAGTCAAACGTGAAAGGTACATGCTACCTACTCTGGAGGATATAGCCCCCAAGCTCGCAGGAGCCAAAATATTCTCAACATTGGACGCATCGTGTGGGTTTTGGCAGATCCCTTTGGAAGAGAGTAGCAGAAAACTTACTACTTTCATCACGCCATTGGGAAGGTTCTGCTTCAAGCGTCTACCCTTTGGGATTACGTCCGCACCCGAAATTTTTCAGAGACTGATGTCAGAACTACTGAGCGGCCATGATGGAGTAGTGGTAGTGATGGATGATAAACTGGTTTTTGGAGCATCAAAATAAGAACACAATGAACGTCTGAGCAGAGTCCTGAAAACAATCAAAGCAAGTGGGCTTAAACTGAACAAGCAAAAGTGCCATTTTGCCAAGCCAGAAATACGATACTTTGGACACATCATCAGTGCTGAGGGAATGAGACCAGACCTAGACAAAGTCAAGGCCATCACCAACATGCCAAGCCCTACAAATGTGGAAGAACTTCGCCAGGTGCTGGGCCTCATCAATTATGTGGGCCGGTTTATTCCAGATCTCTCATCCAAGCTGCATGCGATCACTGAGCTGCTCAAGAAAGACAACAGATGGATTTGGGACCATGCACAAGAACAAGCTTTCAGAGAGGTAAAGGCCATGCTTGTGTCAGCACCAGCACTTGTGTACTACGACCCAAACCGTGAGACTGTTGTCAGTGCAGATGCCAGCAGTTTTGGCTTAGGAGCGACATTACTGCAGGTTCATGAGGACAAGTTAAAGCCTGTAGCTTTCTGTTCCCGCACACTAACAGACACAGAGAAGAGATACTCACAAATAGAAAAACAGTGTTTAGCTGGGGTGTGGGCCTGTGAGAGGTTTGCACGTTATGTTCAAGGCATGGACAGTTTTCGGCTGCAAACAGATCACAAACCATTAGTTCCTTTGATAAACACATACGACTTGGACAAGGCTCCACCCAGAGGGCAAAGACTACTAATGCGTCTTCTGAGGTTTCAGGTGGTGGCTGAGCACGTGCCGGGCAAACAAATGGTCATCGCGGACGCCCTCTCTAGGAACCCGCTGAACAACTCGGATGACAGCATCGACAGCACGTGCAAAGAGGTACAAGTTTATCTACAATCTATTCTGTCAAATGCGCCGGCGTCGCCACAAAGGCTGGAAGAAATCAGATCAGCAACACAACAGGATGAGGAGTTAACAAGAGTCATCAGCCTCATACACAAGGGTTGGCCACCAAAACACTCACTACATCTTGCATTGCATGGCTATTTTCCAGCACGATCACAACTCTCAGAGGTTGATGGACTAGTATTGTATCAGGACAGACTAGTCATCCCTGCAGCTCTGAGGCCCGACGTTTTGAACCGCATTCACGAGGGACATCAAGGGTTAACAAAGTGCAGAGCCAGAGCAAAAATGTCGCTGTGGTGGCCTCGCATCAGCAAAAATATCGCACAGGTTGTAAATACATGCAAGTTCTGCATTCAAAACAAGCCTTCACAAAGACATGAGCCGCTGCTCACTTCACCCCTACCAGATGGACCCTGGCAGCGGATTGCAGCTGACCTGTGTGAGTTCGAGAAGCAAAATTACCTGATTGTGACTGCTATTCCAGAGACATCGAAATTGGCCGCCTGCCAAGCACCACGAGCAGACAGGTCATTGGCCGATTGAAAAGTATGTTTGTACGATGGGGCATACCACTGGAGTTGGTCAGCGACAACGCAACACAATTCACTTCAGATGAGTTCAAGCAGTTCTGTGGGGAGTATGGATTCAATCACATAACCTCAAGCCCACATTTTCCCCAAGCAAATGGTGCTGCAGAACGTGCTGTTCAGACAGCAAAACACATCCTAAAGCAAGCAGACCCACATCTGGCTCTGATGTGTTACAGAGCGACCCCAAGTACTGCAACGGGAGTGAGCCCAGCAAAGATCATGACGGGAAGACACATTAGAACAACGCTACCAATGCTCAGAGACAAAATGCGGAGCAAACCTGAGAATAAACAAGACATTCTGCAGAAGGACACCCATACTAAATCATCCTACAGGTACTTCCATGACCGACACCACTCAGCTCGACCTCTACCTGAGTTATTTCCTGGACAGAACGTCAGAGTAAAGTTGGATGGAGAAAAGGAGTGGAAAACTTCAGCAAGGGTCCTTAGCAAATGCGATCAGCCACGTTCATATATTGTGAAAATGGACAATGGGACAGTAACACGCAGAAACAGGAGACACCTACAACCTGTTCCAGATGACACCGCACCACAGGAAATGCAACCAGTGGGCACACCAGCCAAACAGCCCAGCAGCCCACCTCGAGCTGTTCCGGGTGACCAAAGTGTGCTGGATTCAGGACAAACGGTTAAAACTGAAGAACCACCACAGCATGCTACACCAAGGAAGGTAGTGCATGTGACCAGCAGTGGTAGACCGATAAGAGTCCCTCATAGGTACAGAGAGTAACACTGTATTAGTTCAAAAGAAGAAAAAAAAAAAAAAACATGTTGTGGAATGCCATCGTTCTGACTTACTGAATGTTATTTGAATAAGTGTTAGATTCGAGCTATGTATCGTACAAAAAAAAAAAAAAAAAAAAAAAAAAAGAAAGAAAAGGTTTTGGTATGCTCGTTTCAAGAATAAGGTTAGTACCAGAAGAGTTGAGTGTTAAAGTGTTCTATTAATGGTGTTTTATTAATGCTAGTTTCGTGAGAGGGGAGATGTCATGATGTGTGCCTAACAGGCCACCGTACGGGGCACGTGGGACAGAGACAGACAGAGAGAGAGAAGCCATTGTTGTTTGTATAGGAGGATTATTACACATTAAACACGGTTAACTTCTGAGGTGTTTCATTCTTCATTATTGCTGAACACGACAGTTGGTAAACTAAAAAAGTTAACTCTAAGGCTTGATGTTAGCTACTGGCACAGTTAACAGCTGCTAGTGTTCCTACACAAGCATCAAACTGTTCAGAGTTACAGAATGCTGTTCACTGTAAAGTTGCTCAAGTTTATGGCTCAAGAACCACAAAAACATGTTTGAAAGCAATAGCTTAAGCCCCTGGAGGCAGGCGTTGCAGATTTGCAACAGTTAACACCTACCTACCTGGTTACTCCACATGCATATTTCATGAGCATTTTTTAACTCAGAAGTACCCCTGAGGGACTTAGTTGTTAGTTCTTTTATCAAAACTTATTTTGAGCCTGAGAGGGTTAAAAAGATAAAAATCTCTTTTATTGTAGCTTTAAATCATCTCAACAAAAGAGTCTGGACCTAACACACCAAATGATGTGTTACAATCCAAAAGACAAGAAACAGATGTACCAGTCAGAAAACAACTCTAAACTGTTTAATGAGTTTAAAACGCTTAATCTTAAAAGTTGAAACCTCAATAAACTGAACCAAGAAGAAGAAACTTATAGTTTAAATTTACACAAATAAAGCATTAGATCATCTGCAAATATGATGACATTAATATTGTGGGTCTTTCAGTTTGCATTTTATGAAATAATTATGTTGTTTCATGTTTTTCAAAGTAGACTCAATGCAGAGAATGGGAGAAAAGTATGATGGATTTCAGTTTGAGCACGATCAAAGTTCTGAGGTCAATAAAATCTTCATTCTTTAAAATTTCAGATGATTTCAATCTGAGATCCGATGATTGGTTGAAGCTTAACACAAGGCTTTATAAATGTCAGTAAGTGACCTAGAGGAGGTTTGAAAGCTGACAGAGGAGATGAAAGGAGGAGAGGTGATATGATTTAATTTGGAAGAGGAATGAGGGAGAGATCCGTTACCGGATGGAGAGGAAGTCATTTCAGCAAGAGATGCCAGCAGTAATCCTCTTCATCGCCAAACCACCACCATTCTACTCCACCTAGTCAATTTGTTCTGTCCTTCTCAAAATATCTCCATTGTCCTGACCCCATCCACTCCTCCTTCTCTCACCCCTCCTCCCTGTGCTAACGTCAGATTGGCGAGCACCAACAGGTGCCTATACCGCAGGCCTTTCAGTACAAACACATTCCACCCGCTCGTGACTCCCAACATGTTCACCCAATCATGTGGTTTCACCCATGGCATTATGGCTGAGGGTGTTGGGGGTAATACATGAACAGCTTCAGGAAGGCCTTCATTTGAAAGTACTGCAGAGAATAATCTGGTTTTAAACCATTTACTGGACCAGGAGAGTCAGCAAGGATGCCATGACTGCCTTCATGGGACAACTGAAGATAGAATTTAACCAAAGTGTGAGGATGAGCATGCTTTTCATGGTTTGCAGCTTTCTGTATCTCACCATCGTTGGTAAGAAATGTTTGTGTTACTTTATGTCACAATTTACTTTTATTCCATGAGCTTATTTTTTTTTTTTGATAAAAAAAAACTTCCAGTGGATGTGATTTCTGTTATTTTGTGTTTTCTAAAATAAAAAAAATACTGAGACTAATAAAACAATAGACAGATTGTTGCTCACCAGAGGAGCAGGATATTAAAATTGAACTGCCTATGACTTTGACAGTTGCCCTTTTGGGTGACCTGTGGCATGGTCGCTGCTCTCAACTCTATTATTATTTCCTGATGGGATGCCCAAAGGAGAATCCTTTCAACCCTTACCTTATTTATAAAAAATAGATGATTTAAGTACCAAAAAAATACAATAAAATATATATAATTGCTTACAGACTTTCCTCTGGTGCTTTCAGCAGAGCTGCCCTGGTTGTTGCATCATCTTTGTCTCCTCTGTCATATCTGCTTGGATACTTTACATATTTGAAAGTGAAGCATCATCAGACTCTACTGCTGGGTTTGCAAAAGCAGACAAAGCTACAGAGCAGTGAAAAAATATTTGTCTTAGCAGATTTTTTCAGTTTTTGGCTTTTTGACACACAAAGCTATCTTGAGCTGAATTTTCTAGCATGAATGGTCTATTTAAGGTCAAAGGTCAGACTTTCTCCTTCAGGATTTTCTGCTAAAGAGCTGAACTCATGGTTCCATCCATTACAGCAAGGGGTGCTGAAGCAGTAAATCAGCCCCAGATCATCACACTACCACCACCATGCGTGATTGTTAGTATGATGCCCTTTGGTTTATATCAGGTGTAATGGGACACACAACCCAGTCTTCATAATTATTCCCCAAAAGTCTTTGAAAAATATGTTTTGTAGCAAAAGTCAGACAAAACTTGGTTTCTTATGTTTAGCAGAGGTCTTGGCCTCGGGACTCTCCTATGGAGGACATTTTTGTCCTCCTGTCTTATTTTAGCTGTTGAATCTTGATCTCTGACCTTAACCGTGATCAAGTGAAACTTGCAGAGCTTTAGATGTTCTGAGCTCTTTGGTTCTTAAATGATCTTAGAACGGGGTACGATGTGTTGATTTTTGAGATTGTTTAACCTACTTCATGAATAGATCGAGTAGTAGTGAGGCTAGTGTGTGGCCAGTGGAACTGAACTCAAATAATCACTGTTAATTCCTGATTTAACATCGATGTCAATAACTTTTCCACTGTATTTCATATTATGCTCCATTTCATTTACTTCAAAAATCTCTTTGAAGGTTTAACCAAGCCCTTTTAGCTTTTGGGTCACAGTTTAGCTTTGGCATTACAACAGAAGTGCACAAATGAGTCGTGGTAAATTTTGTTTATTCTAAAGTGGTGACTAATTAGTAAATAGTCCCATAGTAATAGTTGCTTAACCAATAGCTTTTGTTGTTACATGAATTATTTGAAGGTATTTTGCTTTTCTCGTGTTCTTGTACCAAACATCTCAACCTGTCCTTGTCCATTTAAACAGCACTAAATGGGATCAGATATTTTTAGCTTGTCATCTCAGAGGGAATTGTACTCCAAACGACAGCAGGTGTGACTCATTGATCCACAGAGAACAAACATAGTGTTGGCTGATTACAGAAGTATGCTTTGATCAATCATCTGATATTTGTTGTTGTATGACTCAACATGTCATCCACATCAGCATCCTGATTTGCTGTTTCACCCAGGAGCTTCAGAGACGGAGCGAAGGCTCCATAAAAAGTTATTTAAGGACTACAACATGAAAGTCAGACCAGCTCGTCACTGGGAGGAGAAGGTGATGGTGCGGGTTGGGATGACCCTCTCCCAGCTCGTCAGCTTGGTAAATATTTAAACACACAAGATGCTCTCATGCATAAAATCAAAGTTCTAGGTGATCTGGTGAAAACATGCACTTATATGTGTTCTGTATGAATCAGATCACTGCTAGAATTGGATGAAAACCAGTGGACATCTATGTTTATGTTTATGTATTTAGCAGATGGTTTTGGTCAAAGCGACTTAAAGGTGATAATCAAGCCAGGACTTGTCCAACAAGTCCAAACAGTTTTACACAAGTAGCACATTAATGTAAATCGTTTCCCCTGATTTTCCTACAGAATGAGAAGAATGGCGAGATGACCACCAATGTTTTCATGAATCTGGTATGAGCATGAGCTCCAACTCTGTCCACCAGCGGCCCACCTCTTATCTGCTCTGCTTTCCTAACTTTCGTGGTGGTTTTCCTTTTCCTCTGTCCCAGAACTGGACAGATTACCGGTTGTCATGGAATCCTGCAGAATATGACAACATAACAGTTTTGAGAATTCCTCCCAACAAGGTTTGGCGCCCTGATATCTACCTCATAAACAAGTAAGTTACACTCACATATTATTGTAGATGATCTAAAACTAAGCTCTGTAGAGTGTTTTAAAAACCAGAATGACCTTGAACCTTTTGGCTCGAACAGTTGACCCTATCGTGACCCCTTTGAGCTAGAAGGAGCCAAGATAACCACTTAAGCTAGCTAATCATCAAAACAATCGCATTTATATATATATAAAAGAAAAGTGAAAAGAAAAGTACATTTGTGGGCCACGTTAGGAGGAGTCTTTGAATTTGGACAGCCTTTGCATCGCTTTTACGTAATCTGCTTTCAAGTAATGTAGTCCCTGAAGTCAGACACAACCTGAACTTGAGTAACTAGCTTAACTCTAAGTAGCTGTTAGCTTAATTCTAAGTAGCTGTTAGTTATATCTAAGTAGCTGTTAGCTTAACGCTGAGTAGCAGTTAGCTCTGCTGTGTGGTGGTTAGGCTTTTTCATTGTCTTTCCCTGATGATCGAAACTGATATGATTGTTGTCCTCAGTAGTACTATAAGTTAGTGTCTTATTAGATGTATGAACAATGCTATTTGTTAAAATCTGTGATTCATAATTTTTTTTAATAACAATATTAAGATTCCTGTCAGGGAGGACATGATTAGTTGTAATACAAGCAAAGTTTGTTCTTGTCCCTTCTCCCACAGTAATGACGGGCAGTTTGACGTGGCTCTGTACGTTAATGTCTTGGTTTACAGCAATGGGATGGTAACCTGGTTACCACCAGCCATTTACCGCAGCTCATGTTCCATAGAGGTACTGTCTACTTTATCCAAGTGTTTGTTTCTCCATGGAGTTATGTTGGAGTAGTTACAGTTAAATTCAAAGCAGGTAAATGCTGGTATATATATATATTTTTTTGTTTTTAAAAAGTAAAGTAATCCTAAAGGTCTATATGATGTCTAACTTAAAAATAAAAACACCCAACAGAGTGCATGTTATAAACAAGGCCATGTCTTCAGTCAATCAATCAATCAATCAATCAATCAATCAATCAATCACTCAGTCAAGCAACCAATCAATCAATCAACTAATCAATCAATCAATCAATCAAATTTTATTTGTATAGCATTTTTCATATCCAAAAAATACAGTTCAAAGTGCTTTATGGGTTAAAATCACCCCATATAACCCATAATCCCATAATTTCCCCAAAATATAAAAATATTTATGACAGTTGCACCCCCCAAAAAAGTTGTAAGCCTGAATTGCTCTTTTTGGGAAGACCAGAAAGCAGGGCATTACAGTAGTCTATTCTACTGGTGATAAAAGCATGCATCAGCATCTCTGTGTTGGCCCAAGAGAGGATAGGGCGAACTCTGGCAATGTACTTTAGTTGATAAAAACCTATTTTAGTTATGTTTTTTATGTGTGGGATAAAAGGCAGCTCAGAGTCAAAAGTCACACCCAGGTTCTTCACTTGTTCAGAAGGATTAAAAGGCATTAATTGTACTTTTGGTAAAAGTTTCTCTCTCTGGGCCTCAGAACTGATGACTAAAACTTCAGTTTTGTCCTGGTTGAGCTGGAGAAAGTTTTCTGCCATCCAGGATTTGATGTTTAAAATGCAGTTAAAAAGTACGTCCATTGGCTGTGTGTCAGCACACGGAGACGTACAACTGTGTGTCATGAGCGTAGCTGTGGAAATTCACCCCATGTCTCCTGATGATCCCGCCAAGAGGAAGCATATAAAAGTTAAAAAGTACTGGGCCTGAAATTGAACCCTGGGGCACACCACACATAATCCCTTGAACCCTAGAAGAGCAGGTATCCAAACTCACCATAAAAGTCCTGTCAATGAAGTAGGATGTAAACCATCTGCAAACAGCACCAGAAAAGGCAAATCTGTTTTTTAAACGAGTTAAAAGAATAGTGTGGTCTACTGTGTCAAAGGTGGCGCTAAGATCCAGTAGTACCAACACCGTTAACCTTCGGGCATCATCACTTACTCTAAAATCATTTAATATCTTCAGAAGGGCCGTCTCTGTGCTGTGGGTCACCCTAAAACCAGACTGAAATTTCTCTTGGGCATTATGAGTATTGACAAAATCACTAAGTTGAATTAAAACTAAACACATGTTTATTTCAGTAATACTTTTCAAACTCTGTAGGTGGCGTACTTTCCATTTGACTGGCAAAACTGCAGCATGGTTTTCCGCTCATACACTTACGATGCCTCTGAGGTAGACCTGCAGTACTATCTGGAGGAGAACGGGAATGAGATTGATGAGATTGTCATAGACAGCAATGCTTTCACTGGTCAGTTTACTGATCTACCATCGATGAAATCTGGCATTTGATGATCTGTTTGGATCCTAGCTCACCACAAATTTATCTCCCCACAGAGAATGGAGAATGGGCAATCCGTCACAAGCCCACAAGAAAGAACGTTAAGGATGACTTGTATGAGGACATCACCTTCTATCTCATCATTGAGAGGAAGCCTCTTTTCTACATCATAAACATCATCGTACCCTGCATCCTTACCAGTGTCTTAGCCATATTTGTCTTCTACCTCCCTCCAGGAGCAGGTCAGCTTTGTTGACATAATCATTTTTGAAGCTTAACTCACTTGGTTATCTATAAAAACAACTCATCTATCCATTTCAAAGCTGTCCTATTACATATAGTTTAGGGTTGTTTATGTTCTCAAGAGTCAAATTCACAGATTTCCAAGGCTTTTCCTGATTGTTTATATATTCTGTTTGCAGGAGAGAAGATGACACTTTCTATTTCTGTCCTCATCGCTCTCACAGTCTTCATGCTGCTGCTGGCCGACAAAGTCCCAGAGACGTCACTTGCTATTCCAATTATTGTCAACTACGTCATGTTCACCATGATACTGGTCACCTTCTCTGTCATCCTGAGTGTGGTTGTACTCAACCTGCACCACCGAACACCCAGCACCCACATCATGCCAAACTGGGTTCGAAAGGTACTGAAGCAGAGCCCTGCATTGGGACTGGGATTCTGTGGGTCTCAAGGAACCCAACGCAAATCTCAAAGGAGCAAAATAATTGTTATAGTGCTGTAGGTGGGACTGAGCAGCAAAAATAGAACGCAGTTACCATGATTGTTGGTAGGATGGACAGTAGATCTGAGGTCGATAACAGAGCCCTACATGGGGGTCTTGTGAGGTCCAAGCAGGCCCAGTATGAATCTTATTGTAAGACTGCTGAGGATTCAAGTGGGTTGCTAAGAACTGGCCGTGGGTCTGAAGATTGTCAGTAGGATTGAGAGTACAACTGACATTGGTAACAAAATTAAAACACGAGTATACCACTAAAGAAAAGGATGAAAATCCAAAATATGGAAAGGCTTGTTCATCTAACATCTGGCAAACTCTGTGTATATAAGCATACTTGATCATAAAGTATGGATTTTTCTAAAATAAAGGTGGAATATGGAACATTTTAATAAAAAGCTGGATTGTGAAAAAATAATACCTCCACGGGACATTTAGACGTGTGCAGAATGAATGTGCAGTCTTCCCTTCAAAAGCTACATTTAAATAAATAAATAATGAAAATTGTATTTTGACAGACACGACACTGAGTTTATGCTTACATCTAACAGACACTAGAGGGTATGGTTGTGCTAAAAATTCCGCTTGGACAAGGCAGGGCTGGTACTGTGTAACATGGCGGACTATACAAGTCAAGCAGCTGATTTTGAGCCCACGAGATGTTCCAACGGTAAATACTGTTGTAAAACTTGTAAACTTATTAGTAGAAACGAGTCCTTATCCTGTACGATTCGTCACTGAGCATGGTGCTGGCTGGTCACTTATTATGTCAGCAGTGAACCAACACCCTGGAACATGGCTGGAAAATATTTTCTGTTGTTGCAGCCATCACCTCTACTAGATGTCGCCAGAGTGTCCATGTTCCATAGTGAACCTTTAACTCAGGAGTGATAGAAACAGACTGCAGAAATGTTTAGATAATCAGTGGGAGTAGGATTTTTAAAAACAATCAGGACTTGATACTGAAGCATCCCCTGAAAGTCGTAAAGTAACACTATACAACCCAGCTGTGATTACTGTGTACATTTGCAGATTTTTATTCACATCCTGCCCAAGTACATTGGTATGATGAGACCAAAACCAGAAGAACCTATGCTGGAGGAAGAATCTGAAAAGGAGAACACGTCCACCCAGAACTTCAGTGGACGACAACCTAAAGGAGAGTACTTCTTCCGCAAGATCAACCCCGATCTCGTCTTGCCCTGGAGAGGACGGTAAGGCTGCATTAAGCCTAGTTTATGCTTCTGCATCTGCGTTGGTGGGGTACACGCAACGCCATTATCCTTCCTTGCGTAAGCTCTCCAGCAGGCTCGCGTGCACGTACGGAGTCGAGCCCACTTTTCTAAACTTCCGTCCAATGAGACGGAGAATGTAAGCTTGTGATTGGCCAGGACACCACTTTCGTCAACAGCACCAAAATTGTGCCCTCAAAAGTACAAAGAAACGGAGCGGCTTGAAGAATACCTCACAGAAAAACTTAGAATATGAACGTCTTATTCGCCTATGACTGAAGGAGTAAAAAGATACAGCAAGCTATTTTTCGTGGATGGAAGTGATGGGAAACGTAGATTTAGAGGTGCTGAGCGCATGCATAGGTGGAGGAGAATGAGAGACAAATTTCATCCGTGTTAGAAAGTCTCTGAAATACCAAAAACATAATATAAACACAATAGTAAATGCACTATCTTGGACCAGATAAATGACAGGGTGGTACCACAGAACAGCACTAGGCCCTCTGTTGTCCTGGTAGGGAATGGCTTTGCAACACTTCCCAGGAGACAGAGAAGTCCCAGAGCAAAACGGCTCTGTCAATGTGTGTGTCTCTACTTTGTGGAGCTGACGCAGAAGCATAAACTAGGCTTTATACTTGTAATTGTTAGGGTTCATCATAAAACATCTTAATCTAGAGAACTTTAGAGATGGGTTAGTTTACATCTAAACCTGAAAACATGCTGGAATCCATCTTACCCCTAACTGTGTGGATCTGGTAATAAACTAAAGAAAATGGGGAGTATTTACTTAGGGAGAGGTGATTACTCGTGATTACTGAGGAGCTGGGCTGAATAATGGATAAAGGACAGGTGTGATTGACTTAATGGTCTGAGGAAACCAGTGGGCCTTCAACATATGGAGGAATCCAAGAACTGAAAACTTAATAAATACAAGAAACTTTGAAACACATAACTAAATATTTCCTGCCAGAAATAGAATCTGATAATGGACCTGAGGTACAAAATCCCGAAGATCAAAATAATAACGAGAATGTGAGAATGTGAGGAGAATGAGGACGTGATGAAAATAAACATCAACACTAAAATCTCGAGAAATGACCAACAATATAATATTTTTTTAACCATTTGAAACTATTAGGTTTAACGTAAAGTCGAGACTGTACAATTGACATCCACATCACCCATATCTGTCAAACACACTTAAACCTGGCATACAGCAGCCATCTTTAAGATAAGGTCTGCTAGTGCCACTGGTTGGGCAGTGCCCATGGCTAAAGACCAAAGGTGACAGATCATTTGCTGCTGTGGTCCCCAGACTCTGGAGCTCTCTCCCCCTGAGCCTGAGATCAGTGGACTCAGTGGTCTCCTTTAAAAAGCAGCTGAAAACTCACCTGTTTAGGCTTTGGTGCCACCTTTGTCACCACCCTCTCCTTGTTCTGTTCTTATTCCGCCTTTCCCAGGATCCATTGATTGTCCTTTTTCCTATTCATTTTCTCTTTCCCTTCCTTTACATTTTTGTTCACATACATTGTTTTATTGTTTTTTTTTTCCCTTTTTTATCCATGCTTTGAATCTATTTTTAATATTTTTAAATTACATTTTTGGTTCTTGTGAAGCGCCTTGTGATTTTTTTTCTTGAGATGTGCTACATAAAAGATAATTTTCTTTCTTTCAAATTTCTTTCTAAAATGGCCACCATCTTGAATTTTCAAGTTGTCAGTTGAGTGGATATAGTCTACTTGCACTGCGCCCTGCGGTCTCTATCTAGCAAAGTGCACTTGGAGGAAGTGTGCAGTGAGGCTTCGGGTGCGTGGTACACAAGTGCGCAAAGCGGGACACTGACTGTAAAATCATCAACCTTGCTTTTGTTCTTTTTTAAACACAGAAACAGTTTTGTTTACCTGTTTGTAGCTACGGTTTCGCCGACAGCTGCCGGCTTCTTCAGGCTGACGCTGATGGTGGCGCGTCACTTCCTTCTCCGTTTATCTGAGGGCAGCAGAGGACGTTGTTGCCCTCTACTGCCCGCTCTCCCCTCTCCGACAATGCAGTCCCATGCGTGGTCCAGCGTGTAAACTCCGTCGTCCCTGTTCATGGTCCCACATCCACGTCTCCTTATCTCGATTGCTTCCTTGATCCATCTTTTGTATTTTTGTTGTTCAGTGGTTATGATCAGTGGATATGATGTCCATAATAGATATTGGTCTGTGTGTGTTGGTTTCCTGTATGTGTTTATGTTTAGGGTCCCGTCGGTCTGCCTGGTGATTTTCATGTCCATAAATGCTATGCTGCCTTCTGTTTCTAACTCATAAGTGAATTTTATGTTGCCCGTGTCGTCAATATTCTTTAAGTGTTGTGTTAGTGTTTCTGTTTGACCTTTTGGTATGATTTCCAGTATGTCGTCTACGTAGCGTTTCCATAGTTTTATTTTGCAGTTTGGGGGGGCGGTGGCTATGGCTTTTTGTGGAGTCATCTACGAAATCCCATGCAAAATATGCAATAAAACATACATAGGAGAAACCGGACGCCAACTCAATACACGGACAATAGGACACAGAAAGGAGTGCGAGAAAGAGGCAAATCGTAAACACACAAGAGCAGCAAAAGAAGAAGCAGAAAGTACAATAAAAAAGTCAGCCGTAACAGACCATTGCTTAAGAGAAAACCATATAATGGACTGGGACAGCACACGGATCATAACCACTGAACAACAAAAATACAAAAGATAGATCAAGGAAGCAATAGAGATAAGGAGACGTGGATGTGGGACCATGAACAGGGACGACGGAGTTTACACGCTGGACCACGCATGGGACTGCATCGTCGGAGAGGGGAGAGCGGGCAGTAGAGGGCGACAACGTCCTCTGCTGCCCGCAGATAAACGGAGAAGGAAGTGACGCCACCATCAGCGTCAGCCTGAAGAAGCCGGCAGCTGTCGGCGAAACCGTAGCTACAAACAGGTAAACAAAACTGTTTCTGTGTTTAAAAAAGAACGAAAGCATGGATTTACAAAGACACAGCAAGAACACACCTAAGATCATCAACCTTAACGCATGGCGGTTGCAGTTTGTGCTACTTTTGTTAAAAACCTTTCTTGACAATTTTCAAACAGTTGACAAAAGTTACATTCATTGCTGTCCACATTACATCTTAGTCCAAAATATTCAGAGCATGAATAAATAAAATGAATTTCTTTCGTTTGAAAAGACATATTTTCGGAAAAGAATTTGAGCCATTGTTCTTCCTCTCAAAATTCCCACACAGCAATGGATTGTGAGTAATACTCTTCGCCCAAGTCCACATCGATGCAGACTTGGGGAAAGTATGATGCGAGGGTGCAAAAGGGGCATGATCAACTTCCGCGGATAGGGACACCCGACGCACTTGCACCCCTGGACTGGAACGTACAACGATGGAAGTGCGAGTACTGGGATTGGACCTTACTGACTAGAGCCAGTCACATCACATTTGGTGTTTTGGTCACATTTGGCACAATTTTGGTCTCGTTCCTTTTAATCTACCTAAACAGTAAGTCAGTCAGTCAGATCCTGGTAAAATAATAATAATAATAATAATAATCATCATCATCATCATCATCATAATAATAATAATAATAATAATAATAATAAATTTTGTGCACCTTGTAAGTAGGTAAAATTGTACCACCAACTCCTCAACAAAGACATGGTTTCCACACGGGGAGCCTACCAAGGGTGAGGGGAAATGTAAGCTGCACAATGAAAAACCCAAAATGACTTTCCTTTAGACAGGCGGTGCAGGGTGGATTGGATCGTGTCAAAAACAAACCAACTGCTGAAGGTCAGCTTTGGTCTCATCGAGGCTAAACTGATTCTTATAGAGTTAATAAAATCCAAAGCAGGCATGAATCTTCTTTGTAGAGCATGCCAGAGTGTGGCTGTTGGATCTGATGCCAGACCTGCAATTACAGTAAAGCAGACAATGCACCAGAGTTGGCAGATTATAACAATCGTCAGAGGAGCCCGGAGAATCCGTGGAGACTAAAACAGGATGTGCCTGTCCTGCATACGCTCATGTTTACAGCTACCTAATGAGAGGCAGCATGGAGGTGGCAACAGAAGCTAGATCACTTTAGTTAGAACTACTACTATTACTATTATTATAATTTTTATATATATACATTATTATTATTATTTCATTATACACACACACACACACACACACACACACACACATATATATATATATATATATATATGTGTATATATACATATAATTTCATTGTTATTATTATTATTTCTATGATAACATTTGTATTTTATTTTCTTTGTATATTAAAGTTTTATATTCTTGTTTTCGTTCTTTTTCACATTTTTTAACATTTTTTTTAGATTATTTTAGACTCAAAGTGTATCCAAATGATTTGGTCATAAATGGTTAATAAATTAATTTTTTGGGTAATTCCGTCACTTAGTGTCTCAGTTTTTAACCCAATTTCATGTTTATCCTCAATTTATTTGCTAAGTTCAGATTGTCAGATCCTCCTTTTGTCACAAGTTTGTTTTTATTGGTTGCCATTAAACCTCCGGACGTTTCTAGCTTCCATGACTAACAAGAACTATGAAGACGTGTCCCTGCCAGGTCCCTGACACTTACATCGACTCACTCCTATTCATTTATCAATCAACTGTCACAGTCCAGTAAGATATGGGTTAATGACTCTGTTCCATGGATCGCCACTTTGGTATTTACATCTTAACTCTGTGTTTCATTACAAATCCCCATCTAACCATGTCTGCCCCTAAAGCATCCAGATGGAGTGTCAGGATTAGTACCTTCATACCTGGTCCCATATACAACTTTCAAACATGACACTTGGACCATTTAGCCAGAAAATTAAAAACAATATTTTTGTGTATTTTTTAAATCTCTTTTAAACTGATTTCTACAGTAAAGCCCCTAAACACCATCCTTCTTAAAAATCTGTTTAAATTGTTTAGAATAAG